TGGACGAACTCATGCTTACATGATGGACAACTTGTGTGCACTAACCATTGTATTTCCAAGTGTTGCTTGTGTTTGCTCTTTTTGCATGTATACCACTCCAGAGACATCTTGGAGTACTTGGATTGTGCCATGTCTTCAACTCCGTCCAACTACAAGTACGTCCACAATAAATGTTTCCATGGTGATGAGGTTTACGATCTGAGGTCAGATCTTTCCCATGGGGGAGATGATGCAGAGCATCCTACGGACATCACCATGTCAAGAGTTCGATCGCCAAGTGACACGTGTGACATCTACTTCATGCATACAAAGGTGAATCATCTCCTTTACATGTGTCCACTTGTACCCTTCGAGAATGGTATACTACTTAACCCCTCTCTCGTGTGCATACATAGGTGTGAGCGGAGCTATACATTCATCGAGAAGGAGACCAAGCAGAAGAGTATAGCTACACCATCCACAAGGAGAACACACGGAAGAAGGAAGCTCGCCAAGTCCAAGGAGAAGGACGAGAAGACCGCAAGGAAGACGAAGGCGAGCAGAAGGAAGAAGAAGCACGGTTCATAAGACCATGTGCGCACGGCCTATCTAGAGAGTTCCTGGATACCCCGTGTGCACGGGCCCCAAAGACCCCGTGCACATGGGACCCCGTGCCCATGGGGTTGACTTAGCCCATGTGCACGGGCCCACCCGCGAGTTGGCCGGAGAATGCCCCTTTTGCCCCTCCACTCATCCCTCACCTCCAGCCACCTATATAACTCGTGCCTAGGTCATTAGTTAGGGTTAGAAAAGGATCAACTTATTTGAGATAGAGCTTTGCTCATCCACTTACCTCTACTCCCATGGAGTCCAAGACCTCCATGTGAGAAGATCCCTAGTGGATTCAAGACCCCATCTAGGGAAGATCCTCCATGGATTCATGACCTCTTTCCTCATAGGATTGGGATGAACTAGTTACCTCTTGTATCTTCTTGTGTTGGATTTGGACCTTTGTATCCCCTTTGTGTATGTTGATTTAGCACATGTGTGATTTGATCTAGTTGACTTGAGTGTTTCCCTTCTCTCGTGTTCTTTGTGTTCATCGTGTTCTTCGGGATCCCCCCCTCCAATTCATGAAAGATCTCCATCTAGGGTTCCACCCTACAATAGACTGCTTTTCAATGGAATGATCATAACTAAGATTAACCATGCACAAGAGAAAGTCTTCAAAGACTTGGGTGTTGAGAAAAATTGTAGAGAAGATGATGTTAGAAATACTCAACCCCGTGGTGTTAATTATAATGGACTTGATAGCACTTGTGGATTAAATTGTTTAGAGGAACTTAGTTGAAGGGTGAACTAGATTATGCAAAAGATCTGTGTGGTATCTCTTACATGGTGCTTCAGCTTCTCGCTGGTGCTATGGCCCTGCTACTATATGCACGTGTACATGTGTAACTGTTGCTTCGTCACCTTTCTTGATGTTATGTTGAGGACTCCGTTGGCCAATGAACGATCCACTAGGCTCCTGACCAACCGCCACAATGATTCCGCCGGTTTGGGCTTGCAAAAGCTTAAGCTTGGGGGAGGTTACTACCATGTCTACATCAAGATGTAGTGGTATTATTTGAATAAATTGTAATGAGGTTGTACTTCATCTCATTGAGCTTCAAAATACTCGTATTGGTCTATTCCAACACTTTGCTTTTTTATTTGCTTTTTCATTTTTGTTTTTGTTTTTGCCGTTGTGATTTTTCATTTGCAAGTTAGTTTAAAAAAACAAAATCAAGAAAATCGAATAAGCTTTTCTTTGTTCTTTTTCTTTTTGCCCCTTTGGAGTTCATTTGCATTCTCGTTTAAATTTTAGAGGAGTTGATCTACACCGGACAACGAGGAATGCAAGCATAAAGAAGAGAACTGTGTAAATTCATGACCGTGAAGGTATGTCTTATGACTCCTGTCTTTTGCACTTGAAATGCTTAGAGTAGATGTAGTAGAGGGAGTAAGTCTTGATAATTAAAACAAAGGTTTTGTTCTAGTAGCTGAAATAATTTTGTAGCCTTTTTCTGTTTAATCTAGATAACCGAGACTTGTTGTGGGACTGTTTTTAAATGAAATGATCATAACTAAGATTAACCATGCACAAGAGAAAGTCTTCAAAGACTTGGGTGTTGAGAAAAAATGTAGAGAAGATGATGTTAGAAATACTCAACCCCATGTTGTTAATTTTAATAGACTTGACAACACTTGTCGATTAAATTGTCTAGTGTAACTTAGTTGAAGGGTGAATGAAATTATGCCAAAAATCGGTGTTGTATCTCTTACATGGTGCTTCAGCTTCTCGCTGGTGCTATGACCCTACTATATGCACATGCACGTGTGTAACTGTGGCTTCGTCACCTTTCTCGATGTTATGCTGAGGACTCCGTTGGACAATGAACAATCCACCAGATCTTCGACTCGGATTTCGATTATGAATTTGTTGCCGTATGTAGTGTAAACACTACAATAGAATATTATTCAACTTTCTCTTGAATGTGTGTGTATGTGGCAAATACTGGGAACTGATCACAAGAGATCGAAAGAGACATACATAAAAAATCCATAGTTCCCAAAATTAAGCCACAACAAAACTCTGTGCATGATCCCTTATTTGCATAATCCCTTCACGTGACAACCAAAGTTTCAGCAAACAATGATTGAAAGAAGTGTTTGAGAGCTGTGAGGATGAGACATTTGTGGGTATGTTTATGAGCACTCTAGAATCATGTTTCTTTACATGCCTTTCACTCCATAATTTATGTTTAATTGGCTCTATCCAAAGGAAACTCTCCCATGCATTCTCGGCGAGCAAGTGTTACCTAGAGGAAATAGAATTGAGTGTTGCGAAGTTGTTTTATCCAGTAGATCAAAAACTTTGAGTTGATTATCTTTGCTTCACTAACACTTGCATAATAACCATGCCATATATACAGCTATGCTAAGTTTTCAGATCAAGAAGCGGAGGGCTATCTAGGCGTACTGATCATAAGTGAACCAAAACCTTCTCGTATTTCGGTTTAAACAACTGAGTTCCTTATGGTTCGGATTTATCTCTATGTTGCTCGAGGACGATCAAGTTTAAGCTTCGGAGAGTTGATGAGTGATATTTTTACACTCACCTACCCTCTGTTTAAACCGAGAAATTCACTCCGATATTACCACTAATGACTAATGAATGCAAAGGATTCCACAAATACTCTTTTTATTGTATTTCTACATGAAATGGGCTAAATATGGACATAATCCAGTGGGAACATGGAGTGAAGGAGGAGATAGAAGAAATCAGGAGGAGGCGCACCAGAAGAAACATCACCAAAGTCGGCGTTCCATGTGACCGCGACCGTTCCACGGAGAGGCTAAGGGCAGGGAGACCGTGAAGTGTTATTCTGAACACCAGTGATAGAAGGGTTTGGTACAGTAACATGGATCCTATCTCTCTGGGGTTTAATATGTGTAGTCATTAAACACCCAAAGCTCTTGTCTGATTATTATAATCTTAATTATTAAGGCAACCCCGCGAGGCAGATAGGGCGGTTGGACAACCGATTCTTGATCCAGCACGCGTGCTGGCCAAGATGCAATTTGGACACATCTCTCGTTTTGGTTCATAACAAGTACATCTCGATGGGTGACTTCCAGCACACAAATTAAGATCATATTTGGTCCCAACACAAATACATGGTTGTAAGCATTAAGACCTCAATACACATACCTATTTTTATCGTAAGTATTCAACTCAAGGTTGTTGATTTCGATCCGGTCAAAAGCTAGAATTGTTTCTTTAATAAAAGCTTGTTACAAACCCTAACTTCAAGGGGACCTTCCTCTCGTGAGTTCGATAACCCAGGTCACCTCTGGGAAATATGTGTGGATACTTTCTGTTTCATCCAAGAAGTTTGAAGATCCTACATTCATTTAAGATCGGGTGTTGTACTTGCTGGACGAATGAAGGGTGGTCCATTAAGAAGCAAACACAATAAGCACCTTGTTACAAAGAAGTGGTGCCCGCCTGAGGAGAACTGGATGAAGGTCAACGCAGATGGTGCAATGTCAACACGCTGGATTGTGAAGGCGGGGGAGCGGTTCTACAGAATCACCATGGAGCCTTCCTGGCAGTATCGTGCCATTTCTCCTCTCCATCATCGATCCAAAGTTGGTCAAAATTTGGCACTCGCATGCAGGTGGGCTATTCAGCTGGCATTGGGAGGTTGGTGTCACGAAGCTGACCTTGAAGCTGACTCCTAGACATCCACAAGATCAACGATAAGACGAAGGATCCTTCAACCAATGGGCCGATTGTCAAAGAGGAGAAGGAGTTGCTCCCTTTTCATTTGAGGAGTTTATGGTCAAATGGTGGAACAAGCGACGAATAAAGTCATGCATAATTCGGCCAGTGAAGCTTACATAAATAAACTTTGTAAAACTTGGTTCCAGATACCACCGGAGTGTATTATTACGGTGGCAGCCCAGAAACGTGTCGAAGTCATTTTAATAAAATGCAGCAAATCATTCTAAAAAAAGCGATAGCTATGATAACGTTTTCTCTACAACCGTGTTTTTTAATTGCACAGTTATACTAAATGTTTTTATTTTCGGCAACTGGGTTTTTGGTGAAGCCAAGTTAAATAAAATCATTTTGTTCCCTACGAAGAGCGAGCAACAGGTGGTTTCTTCCTGGAAGGATGGACCTAATTAAGAACCGAGTTAAGAACTCTTTTAGTCTCAGCCTGTCATTGACCAACACCAATTTTTAACCATCAAACTCAAAGAATAACCATTTTAACTGGTCCAGTCCAGTCGCCGACACAGCCTTTCTCCCCCATTTCTTCCTTCCTACCCCAGGCGACAGCGGCTCCGCTTGGCCTTTGCGGTTTTGCCATTTCCCCCAACTCCGCCGACCCACTCCACTCATCAGCTTCACGCAGGCCAGATCCAGCCTCGCGTGTCCTCCCCTACCCCTCCCTCCACACGCCCGCCTCATGGCCGCCAACACGGCGGCCGCACGCGCCCTCCTCCTCCTCCTCCTCGCCGTAGCCGTCCCGTCGCTCCTCCGCACCGGCGAGGCCTCGGTGCACGAGTACAGCGGCCTCAGCTTCCTCAACAAGGGCAATGCCTTCATCCTCCACGCCGGCAGCGAGGGCCTCTACGCCCCCGTCTCCCCCGCCAATGCCACCGCCGAGGAGGACGATGACGAGGCCGCCGCCGACGCCTTCATACGGTAGTTTGTCTTGCGGTTTTTGCTCCCCAGTGGCTTGCTTGCATCGCCTTTACAGACGGCCGCGGTGTAGTGGAGCCTCGTTCTGCAGATGAGATCTTGGATCCCGTCGTCCCCGGGGTTCTGTCGGGCATTTGGATGGTTTTTGGTAGTAGATAGGTCAAAGTGAGTAGGTTCTCCTGAGAGGGCGCAATTGGATCTTCACGGAAATTATGCTGAGAGGGGCACCATTCCCGCTGAGTAATTCTGGCTACGTGTGCATTGTTGAGTTAATTATGCTTGATTAGTTTGCAACTTATGGCATGAGTTGGTGTAGGCGTGTAGTACTTTTTTTTTATGGGAGGGAAGCACTACTTTTAGAGGGGCAAGGTCAATCAAACTTTAAATTTTCTCCAAGTACATGTCCAATAAACTAAAAAGCAAAGGAAATGACACCCTGTTCCTTCAATTTAAATTTGTTATGGAAATGCATACTAGCATGTTTGTATACTACTTCCTCCGTCCGGAAATAGTTGTCACCAAAATAAATAAAAGGGGATGTATCTAGATGTATATTAGTTCTAGCTACATCCATTTTTATCCATTTTGATGACAAGTATTTTTGGACGGAGGGAGTAGTAGAAATGTGCACGTGCATTTTGTACTCATTATTTATTGGTTGCTACTTTAATTGAGCAATTCAAATTGCATTAGCTCGGTTCACTATAATTAGGTGCTTAGCTTGCTGCCATCCTTCCTTCCTGTAGACTCGAATTTCACATTTCCTCCACTTTTCAGGTTTGACAAGATTACTTTTAGGAGGCCAGAGGAGGCTAATGATTCTGTGAAAGAAACTAGTTCATCTAAGGTTCAGATAATTGTCTTTGAAATAGAAGATCGTGAAATGATTGGTGGATCGGCATATGGTGGTCAAAAAGCAATTTGTTGTACATCAGATCTTGCAAAGTTGGGAGCTTGTGTTGAAGGCTCTGTCATCTACCGCCCATCGCAGGTGAATCCTGGCTGGCCACAGTTGTTTGTTGCTTCTTTTGATGGAAGTGATCTGATTGCAACGCTGCCTTCAAGGACCATTCCAGTAAAGAAAACTGGGATGTACAACATGTACTTTATACACTGTGACCCGGCACTTGCTGGACTGGAAATCGACGGGAAAACCATATGGAAAAATCCTACTGGCTACCTTCCAGGTCGGATGGCACCTCTTAAGAACTTTTTTGGGCTGATGTCATTTGCTTTCGTGATACTTGGTATCTACTGGTTCTATCAATACATGAAGTTCTGGCGAGAGGTTCTTCCACTTCAGAACTGTATTACTCTTGTTATTACATTGGGTATGCTTGAGATGGCGTTGTGGTATTTTGAATATGCTGAGTTCAATGAGACTGGAGTTCGGGCAAAGGCCATCACATTTTGGGCTGTAACATTTGGGACTATTAAAAGAACAGTGGCTCGTCTTATTATTCTCATTGTCTCGATGGGGTATGGAGTTGTGAGGCCTACTTTGGGTGGTCTGACATCGAAAGTGGTCATGCTTGGAGGAACATTCTTTGTAGCTACAGAAATTCTTGAGCTAGTGGAAAATCTAGGTACTGTGAATGATCTGTCTGGAAAAGCTCGGCTATTTTTGGTCTATCCAGTGGCTATCTTGGATGCTTCATTCATTGTTTGGATATTTATTTCTCTAGCCAAGACCCTTAGCCAACTTCAGGTGAGCAGAATCTCTTTTCTGCTCGTTATTCTCTATTATTTTGTTTGCAGTATCTGTTATGGTGTGCTATCCTTTTTTTTCTGTACCCAGTTTAATTTAAGGAAATGCACGGACCATTCATGATCTTTTTTGTTGTGTTCTTTATAGGCAAGAAGGTTGATGGCCAAACTTGACATTTATAGGAAATTCACTATTGCATTGGCTATTACTGTTCTGGTATCTATCGGCTGGATTGGCTATGAGGTATAGTGATGTATTAAAAATTATATTTGGATTCTGGATTGCCAAAATATTGTTTAGTCATTGTCTTCACCCTTTGTGGAGGGGGTATTCTTTCAAATCATACCCGTACCTTTCTATTTTTAAGAATCTGGCTTTTTTTTTTTGTTCAGATGCAATGTACTACATCTCACTTGGTCATGCGTCTACTTTTTGTTCTTTGATAGCAGAATTGTAACTTTTTGCAGATTTACTTCAAATCGACAGATGTGTTCAATGAGCGGTGGCAGTATGCATGGATAATTCCTGCTTTCTGGCATGCCCTATCATTCTCACTTCTTTGCGTCATTTCCTACCTGTGGGCACCTTCTCAGAGCTCAATGAGGTATTATCCTACTCTTTTGGTGACTTCAACCTGGCTAATACATGGCCTTACTGTCTCATTGCGATTTCCTAGCAGTAGAATTGCAGTACCAATCATCTGTTCTACGAATATCAGGAAATTTGAGAGCATGCCATTAAGCTGTCTCTTCAGTCGTGCTACCATTTATTCTTGGGAAGTGTTGCCTGCTACTGCCATTTTGTCTTTTTTTTTAGAAAAGGAGGATGACTCCCGGCCTCTGCATCTGGGCGATGCATACGGCCACTTTATTAATTATTCTCACAAGACCTTACAAAGTCATACAACAGTAAGACTAAAGCCGCCGTCTAAGCAACAAATGTCGCTACACCTATCCAGTTGATGAAGGGGCGCAGATAGCCTGGGCCTAATACCAAACAGACATTGCAGCCAAGCCTAACATCTAAGACCTGAGACCCCAACCTAGCCACTTGCCGGGTCTGGGGCACACACCGGTCCGGCGTGCTCTCAGAGGCCGTCGCCGCCAACTGCCACCGCTCCATCTTCAGAACTGTACTGATGCATCAACCTTGCTCGGTCTAGCTATCGTCGACGCCACCACGGTCGCGGTCGCCACTGATATACCTCAGCGCCATGCTGCCAAGTACCACCAGCCGACACAGCTTGAAGTCCTTGGAAGATCTGTCGTGCATAGCACCTGCCGACCAGGCATGACCAAGCGTAGCACCTGTCGGTCAGGCATGACTTGACATCTCCACCGAAGCTCCGTGCAAGACGAAGCCGCTCCACCTCCTGCCTCTGACTTCCAGCGCTGCTCCACAAACGATGCTCCCAAGAGAGAAACGACACCGCAGTGCCGCCATCGTCCGATCTGGAACACCAGATCCTAGGGTTTCCCCCGGAGCAGCACGAGTGGGTCGACAGTAGTTACACGACGATGCCTTCATCAAGGTAACGGCGTAGAACGTCGCCATCTCCTGCCATCGGCTCGGTTTTCACCGGCAACCATGTCTCCTCAACTCGCAACCGGGACTAGATGATGGATCTCGAGATCCGATCACCAAGCTTCTGGCCGGCCACCACCGACGAAGAAGATGACCACCACCACTGGCTACACCGGCCAGAACAGATCTGCCATGGGTGCCGCCAAGC